AGAAAGGCAAAAAAAAAAGATGAGGTTAAGAATGCCTCATAATTGTGCAATGAAGAAACCATTGTGGGAAGAAAGGATGGTCAAGGTTGAAGGACCGCCTAGTCTTCATTAGGCATCGGGAAGGGTGGTTTTCAGGAGAGCTGCCATCTCTGACATTCTCCTTTCTGAGGTGGCGGCATCCAGAAATGGCAAATTCGGGGAGAAGATCTTGGAAGGCATCTCATGCAATGGCTCCAAAGGAGGTCTCTGGATGGCTGACAGAACTTCCATATATAGGTAAGTTACCATTTTCATCCTAATTCATGGGAGTTATTGCCCCCTCTTCCCTGTGTCACTCACCCCATTCCACAGTGAGAATTTCCTCCAGACTGCTGTGATCCACATGACAGGAGTAAGTGTCTACCTCTCTTGTTGGTACTTCCGCACTTACTCTGATCTGATAGGTGCCGTCAGGATGGGGGAGAATTGGACTCATTTCATCTGAAGGAACATCATCTACTCCATTCCTCACCCACTTCACATGCACAGCTCGGGGGTGAAACCCGTACACCAGGCACTGAAGTCTTGTTACCCCATCTGATTGAGAACGGCCCCACACCTTCACCTCTGGACGCACTGAGGGCAAAATACAAAAAAGTGGGAATTAAGAAAAACTGTTCATGGCAGAGAAATAAAAAGTGCAAATGTTTAGCCTGGAGCTGGCCATACACAACAGCTGTACATCTGCTTAAATCAAAACTTTCATAGTCCATAAAAAATCAGGGACTTTTGCAGGTCATTTTGACAGCTGGAATTGCTAGTTGTGGGAATTTTTCAGGGTGTAGATTACATGCCCAAAGTCCACAAGTGGTTATAGAGATAGAAGTTACAGGAAATGTAGACACCGAGACAATACATTATATAATATGTAGTCACCTCTTTTTTCCAGATCTTCTTTTCCATATTCGATGAACTTCTTCAACCACTTGACACAATCAATCTCCAGAAAATACTTCCTTTTCTCCCCCAGTCTGATCTCCAGACTGTTCCACCTCTGTGTAGTAATCTCCGCCTCATACATGACTGGGACATAGATCCCTCTCTGAGTGTCCAAGTAGCTGAAGTCTCTTCCATCGTATGCAACCTGACTATACCAAGCAATGCTGCCGTCATCTCCCAGTTCACAGCCAGACTTCCACTGGTAGGAATGGAAACCTGCAGACAGTACAGGAAGATATTACACGGGAGCAGAGCGTGTCACGTGTACAGCAATGTAACATGTACTCTATGGATGTATTACATGACTTGTGGGATTTGTTGCAGATACAGAGTTCTTTTTTTATTCTCTACATTCAGTTCAGTCATGTTGTCACCTTCCTCATCTTCTGAGTTGGTTGAACCGCAAATCCCAATAATGATCAGTAGTGGCTGAAATATCCGGAATAATCACTATCTGCTGCAATCAGCACACCTCCTGTTTTAGGATAAAGCTGGACTCCGGGATAAGCAATTATCATCTAAACACAAGAGCTATGTGTATTTTCTCTTGAATCAAAGGCAGGCCCGGATTTCCCACAAGGCCACTGAGGCCCGGCCTCGAGGCGGCAGAGCGCAGATGGGCGGCAGAGCGCAGAGAAGCGGCAGCGGTGACCTTGTGGGGATCCCCCCCGCCATCTGGTTGCCATTTTCAATTGATGGGGAGGGGTGTTTGGCAGCATGGGGGGGGGGCGTATTGTGGAACCTGGCCTTGGGGCGGCAGGGGGAGTAAATCCGCCCCTGATCAAAGGGATCTATTTATAAACAATCTGCACAGCTATTCACCCCGTGACTCTTTCTAAGCGTTCGTCCTGTGCAAATAGATGCAAAAAGGTTCACTTTAAGCCTGATGACGAGAACCCTGTGTGGCCCCGAAAGCGCTTGATTCTACTTTGAGTGACTTCTGAAAAATAAAAAATGAAGATTCACTGAAACTGACGTGTTTGTCATGCTGGTGTGCTGGTGACATTTCTTTACAACAATACTTTGCTTGATGCGGCGCCATCTGCAGTCACTGCGAGCACCCACTTTTGCCTATGGAAATTCCGGTAAGATAGGGCTACAGGACTTTGGACATTTGTAGATGCAAAAAGGAACGTTCGTAGACATAATTTCTTTTCAGGTGGAATGCATGTGATGTAATACTGCATTTAGCCACTAACTGGAGCTGACGAGCACAGAAAATAAGTATTTGTTTGAGGTCAGGTAATGATTGGGACCTGGCAAACAATCGTAGTTCTAACTCATCCCAATGAGTTCAGTGAGGTTGAGGTCAGGGCTCTGTGGAGGCCACTTATGTTCCTCCACACCAAACTCATCAAACCATGTCTGTATAGAGTAGGCTTTGTACTCAGGGCCACGGAAAAGGATCTTTGCCAAACTAAAATAGACATTTCCCAGAACACTCACCAGCCAGCCTGCAAAAAAATACACTGTCTAAATACACTGTGCAGCTAAAACCTCTGTTCAGCCCACAGAGGTTTTAGCTGCACAACATTTGCAAAATATGTGGAATCCGCACGGCCTGGTCAAGGCCCCTCTGTGTAGTGTGGTCCTAACTCTAATCTATGAGAGCCGCCATCTTGGTTCATACGTAGCAAAGGATGAGTTGGGAGCAGGAGGCAGCCCAACATCCTTAAAGGCAGAGGGGCACACCCGAAGACCTGCATACCACAATGGCAGCTGAAGGCCTTAGTATGTCCCCACACCAAATCCAACAAGTGAAACAAATGCAAACACACTCATCAATTCATAACTAGTCTGTGGCTGTCACAATCTTGGAATGCCGTATGGTGCTTGTAGTTACACAAAAGCTGGAGGGTCAAAGTTTGACTACCCTGGCCCTAGACCAACCTTCAAGGGAAATGGCCATTGATGAGGCGCTCCTAAACACACATCCAGGATTGATCTTCTGTTGAGTGATCCCCCCATTGTGACCAGAGAGGCAGCAGCCTTGGAACATAACCAGGTCCATACACTACACATACACTGTCATTATGGGTTACCTCCCTCAAGGAGCACATCCCCCATTTCTTCAGATTTGCATGAACACCAAATCCTTCTATTGATCCAGAACAACCACAGATTTACAGCATAAGTTCCCATTGAAGGACCAGGGACAGACTCAGCTTCCTCTCACTAACATACAATGCTTGTAGATCTTTAACCCTTTGTTAGGACGGGCAGTGATCCAATCTAGTGATAATGAGCTCTCCCACCACAGTGCAGACGGGGTTAAATATGTTAATGTTACCTGAACAGCTCCCCTTGCATTCCACAGCAAAACTCAATACAGAGAACAACTTTTCTCTCAGAATAGAGATTGTATTGTGAAAGCAGCAATCAAAAAAAGATTGTTATGTGATGTGAATGAGAAACATACAACAAATATAAAACTGGAGTTCTCCCAATGTGGCTGCAAAAGGGGAAATACACTTTATGATACTCATGTGAGAGTCATGAGAGAAATAAAACTTCCTTTATGACTCATGAACGGCTGTAAGAAACAAATACAAAACAAGAAAGTCCCACAAGGTTATTCACAGAGGGGTGAAGAGTTTGGAGAAGGCCGGAGAAGTGAACAATCTAGGACAACATCGCTGAACTGGAAAGTGAGCCGAATTGGAGAATGTTTCCGGTTCAGCTATATTGTCCTAGATCAGCGGCGCCCACAATTTTTCGTCTGGAGATCTACTTTTCAAATTATGAGATCTACCAACGAAAAAACACCTGTATTCAGGGGCGGGAGGGGGCGTGGCAGTGCATTGAAGTCAATGGCACCGCAGCCACGACCCCTGCCCGCAGTGCAATCGCCCACACCCGGAATGCAGGCATTAATGTGCCTGCGTTCGGAGTGCGGGCGATCACACCGAGGGCGGGGGGCGTGGCTGCAGAATCTGACACAATCAGCCGTAGGAGCACCGCGGGAGGACAGGACACAGGTCAGTGTGCCGATCGCGATCTACCTAATGGGCACCCCTGTCCTAGATTGTTCACTTCCCCGGCTTTCTCAAAACTCTTCACCCTTCTGTGAACAGCCCTGCCAGTATACAGGTGAAACTCGAATAATTAGAATATCGTGCAAAAGTAATTGCAGTAAGTGCTGCAAAAGGGGCCCAAACCAAGTACTGAGTACATATGCATGCTTGTACTTTTCAGAGGTCCGATATTGTTCTATGTACAATCCTTGTTTTATTGATTGCATGTAATAATCTACTTTTTTGAGGTTGTGGATTTGGGGTTCTTGGTGTTTTCATGAGCTGTAAGCCATAATCATCACAATTATGACAAATCACGGCTTGAACTATCTTGCTTTGCATGTAATGAGTCTATCTCATATATTAGTTTCACCGTTTAAGTTGCATTAGTGAAATAAATGAACTTTGCACGATATTCTAATTATTCGAGTTTCACCTGTATGTCTATGAGGAGTGTAATCTGTACACAGTAGAGAGTGTCACCTCCGGTCTGGTTAAAGCGGCTCATTGCTTTCTGTACACTGTTCCGGAATATGGGTTCTGTGGCTTTAGCAATCTGTAGCTGTATGTCCCAGTACTCTGGTCCCTCTTTATGGATCCACGGAGCCACAGGAAGGAATTGTCCGCTGTCACTGCTGTACACATTAATCTGCTGCTCATCCACGTACGCAGTTATAGAGAACTCGGGCAGACTGGATCCTTTATCTGTGACCGCTGAGTAATAATACCGCAGGGAGTGACTGTCTGAGAGAGAGATATATGGACTGTTACATATCACCGTACATGCTGAACAAGAGAAATCTTTCAATATCATCATTTACACTAAATAATGTAGGTGGGTGAATCTCCTGTGTCGGCTATTTTATTCTAGCAAAACAAATGGCAAACGCACTCTTCAATTTGTAACCAGCTCTAAGCAAGGCGTACATCGAAGGGCTTTATACAGTACAAGTGCAAAATGTTGTGATGTGCGGGGTCCCTTGTGCGTCCCTGTGCCTTTAAGGAGGTTGGGCTTCCTCCTGACAAACCTGCACCTAATTTTATCTTTTGCCCCCATGTGCTCCAAGATGGAGACTCTCATAGCTTAGAGTTAGGACCGCACTACATAGAGGTGCCTTGGCGCGGCTGTGCGGCTTTCACATTTTCTGCAGAAGACGTATACCTAAACCTCTGTTTTTAACCTTAGTGGTGAGACAAGTTTTTCTGCATGCTGGCTGGTGAGTGTGCTGGGAAACTTTTTGCTGTTGGGCTATTTTATTCTGACAGCTGGCGCCCACGGCTGTCAGAAAACCCAAACAATGACTGCAGGTGATTGCCTATAGTCACTGGTCAGCCAACAATTTTCCATGCAATTCTTTAAAATTTTTTTTACTGAAAATGTTACTTTTGTTGAGCCGGGTGGTGTCAGCAGAGCCGCCCACAAAGCAAATTTTGGCCGATTCAGCAGCAAGGAGTTGAAATGTTATCTGTGTATGGCCAGCTTAAGACACTCACATGTAATGGCAGCGAGCCTCTGGTCTTAAATCGGAAAATAGAAGGAAAACATGCTGATTCCCTGGATTTTTATGGCTGAGGAGAACGTGTAAAAGCCGTGTAAAAGCAATTATTTTTTGTGTACACTGAGCCGCGCATGCTGCACAGACCCGGTATGCCGAGATGAAGTGACTCTCATGCGCATGCGCAGGAGTTACGTCATTGGGGACTGGCCTATCAAGTGGCTGAAAATAGAAGCACCAGAGAGGGAGGAGCTTGGCTCTGGAGGTTATCAGTTTGGCAGGTAAGTCGCCCATAATGTGCTAATAATGGCTTTTTTTTAAAAAGGGGTTTACTTCCACTTTAAGTGGGCCATATACTGGTTGAAATTTGGCCGAGTCCTGCTGAATAGATGGAAATTCTACCAATCTGTGAGCCCCCGGAACCCAATTATCTCCCCTTCCTTCCCCCATTCAATAAAAGTTGATTTTTCCAGTGAATTTTATTGAAGGAGCCGGTTCTAAAAATCTCCAATGAACAATGACTGCAGCTGGTTATGACAGATGGTGGAACTAAGAGAAGAAAACTCTCAGAGGGCAATTTATCAAAACTGGAGCAGTTGTTCATGGCAACCAATTGGCTTCTCTCTTCAGTTTGGCCAGTTAAGGTTTGAAAATGAAAGAGAGAAGCTGATTGGTTGCTGTGAGCAACTGCTCCACATTTTGTCTGCTCCAGTTTTGATAAATTCCCCTCTCAGTATATGGTCAGCTTTAGTAAATCCGGCTCATCACCTTTAATATAATTTCTTTTTGTTGGTCGCAAAGCTCCTTCCTCTCTAAGAATGAATCACAAATCTCTCCTATAATACAGACACAGTGTTCTACATTCTAAAGACGGAGCTCCTTCCCATATACTCACCACAATGCACCAGAGATAAGGTCAGAATCAGCAGGACGAGATCGGTCATCTTCATCCTCCTGCTGCGCATATATCGGAGACCCCAGGAACATTCTCTACGAGAAACGGCTTCATGAAAGCCACGCAGTCAGCAATGTGTGAGGAGGAGACGTCTGTGTGCTGAATGGATGATCCTCAGTTCATTGTCCAATAGAAACATCTAAACTTTGATGATAATCAGCAATCACCAGGAAGAGACAGAAAATCTGAGAGGGAGAGAAAGTGAAACTGTGTGAAGCAAAATGTATTCCTGGAAATGAATCCGGAACTGAGAGTAAAGTCTTTGCTGAAATCATAACTGCTCATGTTTAAATGGCTTATGATAAAGCTGCCTAAAGAGTAACTCGACTTGCTTAAAACTGTTCCTAGTAGGGATGCACAGATACCGATACTGATATCGGTGCCAGTACCGCCCAAATGCTCCAATACCTAGCCCGATACCCGAACTTCTAGTATCAGGAAGCCGGGCAGCGAGTCATTACACGCTGCCCGGCTTCCTGATTGGCCAGGAAGCTGGCTCCATGCTCCCTCATCACTTGGTGATGAAGAAGCATGAAGCCGGCTTCCCGGCCAACCAGGAAGCCAGGCGCAGTGTAGTGACTCGCCACGTATTCTAATGAAAACAGGTCCTGGCAAATGCTGTGACCATTCTGATCTTAAGTCACTTCAGACAGAACTATAACAAGTTCTACAATATGATAGCACTCTGCACAGACAAGAGTTGTTTAAATTCCTATTTAGAATTTAGAGATAAAGTTCAATGATTTTAATAAATTGGAATAAAAAGAAAGAGAGAGAGCGTCTCCATCGTATCCTGACATCCCGCTGTTCGTGTGTGTCGACACTATTTATTTGCCTGTTTTCATAGTTCGTTTGTGAGTATGTTTTTTATTCCAATTTACTTTGTTTAATTAAATGATTTTACAAGATGGAGGCGCTCTCTCTTTCTTTTTATTCCAGTTGTTGTGGTCGTCCCAGACCAGTGTGAGCGGCCTCCACTGTGCATAATTACACCTCTTTGCACAGATTTTGAGGCTGGCGCTTGTGGAGAACTATGGGGTTAGGGCTTTTCCCCATAGTTCTCCTTAGGGTAACGGGAGGACACAAACTAGCGTCCTCCCGTCACCCTAAGCTCAGTATACCGCAAGCTACAGCTGCGTGACTGACAGCTGGCTCTGCCTATCTAGAGGCAGAGTCAGCTGTACCCGTCCCCTCCCCCGTCCCTTCCGCC